GACACCAGTTGGGGAGGGGCCAGGTTATTTCCATATGTGTGCTGTTCCCTAGGCAGGGATGGTTTGATCCATGCTCAGAGCCCCTCTGCTGGAGCCCAAGGGAACAGAAACAAGACTTGAGATCTGCTTGATGATCTCTAATCTGCAGGGGCTCCCTGCTACATAGGAATTACTGTCTCCATTTGGAGGAGGAGGAACAAAGGAGTGGAGAGATGAAGTAACTTCAAGAGCTCAGGATTCTTGAAATATGGACTCAAATCCAGCTGTCTGCTGAATTTTGTCTTTTACTGCTACTAGTTTGGTCGTTATGATTGCTGTATTATGTTGTGGTGAATTCCTCTATGATATCAATTTTATTGTAGAACTTTTTCACATTCCGTGGCTTGATATAGTCTCTTTCCTCAGATTAGGAAATTTTTTCATTTATTACTTTTTGAAATATGCTTTGTGGTTATTTTCTGTCTTTCATCTCCTTTTTGGCTACATATTCTCCATATATTATGTCCCTGATGGTATCCTACAATTCCCATGTGTTTTATTCATTTTTTCATTATTTTATTCTAAGAGCCTCTGTGATAGATTATATCAAATATATTGTCTTTATTTTCACTATTTCTTCAACTTGATTAAAGGAACTGTTGAAAGATTCTATGTTTTGCTTTTTTATTGCATTAATGGTCATTTGAGTTTTTGTTGTCATAATTTCTTCTCAAATATCTTGTTTTGTTGTGTATTTTTCTTTGTATTGTTTATTAAAAAATCAACACAAAAATTAGACATATCTTAGAGTACTCTGTGATATTTTGATACATGTTTAGTTTTCATAAAGTCAAACTAGGATATGAATACCTATGTTCTAGGGTATCATTACTTCATGGTTAAACTTTCAAACTCTTCCAATTTTTGAAACATTTATAGTATATCATTATTATCTTCAGTCATCTTACTGTGCAATAGAATATCAGAGTGATTTCTCCTAACTTAGTGCACATTGTTCAAACGTTCCCTGTCCTTTTCTCCTCTCTAGTCTTCCTAGGCTCTGCTACCATTCTGCTCTTAAGTTCTGTAAGATCAGCTTTATTAGGTTCCACATATTAGTGACATCATGAAGCAATGGTCTTTCAGTTCTTTTCTTGACTTAATTCAAGTAATGCAAGTGTCCTCTGATTCCATTCATTTTATCAGAAATAACTACTTATTTTTCATTAGTCAGGATTGAGCACAGGAGTTTTACACTGCCTTATAACCACAGCCCCTTTTTTACTTTTTCCTCTGAGACAGGGCCTTTCTAAGTCTCTAAATCGCCCAGGCTGGGCACAAGCTGAAATTTTCCTTTATTTTTAAAATTCTTATATTCTTGAAATTCACTGACCTTTTTAAAGAGGGTTATTCTGAATTATTTTTACATCAATTCATAGATTGCCCTTTGTTTATAGCCCATGTTGGGGCTTGCCTAGTTACTTTTGACAGTTTCTTGATTTCCCTAGTCTTTGTAATTCTTATGTCACTTGTTTGGGTTGTTGGGTATTTGTAGAAATAGTTATCCTTCTACACTGATGTTTTATAGTATTGCTGGAGTTCTGTGGAAGAGTAGACCTTCACTATGTGGTCTAACCTGTCATCACCAGTGAATAAGCTAATAATGACCCAGGAAAGGCAAATCATGTCTGCAGCTTGTGCAGATGGCTGGCCACTATCTTTGCTCTAAATTCGGGTTGGGCAGCTTATGGGCCTCTCTGACTTTGCAAAACTTGGCTCAGATCTGCAATTAGGCTGAGCTACCTGATGTGCACTACAATTGCCTTACATCTGGATGAGCCAAAATGTCTAATTCTCTGAACAGAAAGTACTATTCTTTGTGCTCAGCAGCTGGACAGAATTCCCAGAAAAACTATAAGATTAACTAGATCAGGATGGATCCTGATTGTCCATCTTGATTATCAGATTTGAATCCCTCACTGTCACCCTGTCAACAGTAAAATTACCAGGAGGGATCTCTTCTGTCTATTCTTCCTGTAGGCCTTGTGGCTCACTGAATACTCCTCTCTAGTGAGGATTTATGTAAATTTTGACTAAATAGAAAGTACCAAGTCTGGCTTTAAAAAATTGTACACAAACTCTTGCCTTTCCCACATTCTTCTTGCTGGATGTGGCAAGGTGGCCTGGATTGACTCCTGTGGAACTTTTCTTCTCTAAAGGACACAACTCTGCCCTTGAGATGTGCCTTCAGGGGCAGGAGAGATGTTTAGTACTTAAATGAGACTTATCAGGATACTGGACAGCCCTTTGTTTTCCTGTGCAGAGACTTGCTAGAAAATAAGTGCGTGGAGTGTGTTGCATCATGTTCCTCATGAGATACTTTTCATCATTTGGTTTAAAGTTGCTTCTGTATCTCAGCTTCTGTCTATCTCCACCACATCCTGTCATCTGGCCTGTAAGCAGTTATTGTGCAGATTCTTGCTTGCCAATAATGCCAAGGGATGAGAACTATGCTGGAAACCTCTACTAACTAAGAACGAGCTCTTAGTTTTCACTCAAGGCCCTCCATGCATTGGCCTCCTTTTTTATGTAAAGATGACAATTCCTAGGGGGGCTATAAATACCTCAGTAAGTCTCTGATTGAAGACTGAAGGCCTTTTAATATCCACGTTTTCAAGCTCCAGCTACTGCACATTCTGTATTCAGTAGTAATTCAGTGAATGAATTCATGAATGATATACGTGATACTTGTGAAAGATTTATTTTACATGGCAAAATAAAAAGAAAAATACAATGAAAGCTATGAGAAAACATACTGTACTTGGAATGAAATGAAAGGAATTGTATTCATCATAATTCTTTTTGTGAACACTTCTGGGTGTGCTTAGAATTATTATGTGGGCCCAAGTAACTTAGGATGACCATTGGGTATTGTGGTGTGTGTGTGTGTGTGTGTGTGTGTGCATTCACATGCATATGTGTGTCACTAGAGACTGAATCCAGGAGGCATATCAGCTGTGTTAGAACTATTCAATTCTCTTGTTGTCCTGTGAAAAGAGCCACAGACAATATGTTAATAAAAGGTCCAGGCATGTGTATGTGTGTATGTATATGTTTACCTTTATATATATATATCTCTATCTGTATCTATCTATATCTGTGTCAGGGTTTGATCTTAC